ACGTTCGGTGAAGTGTGTCTGCAAGTTAAGGAGTTAATTTAGTGTTGTTTACCTACCAATAAATGTTCTACAGCAACGCGGTGTGTAGGCAAATTCTTTGCACGCCACTGAAGGTGTCTTTTCATGTCGGTTATACACCGGGCAGTATCCCAATCATTTCTGAATAAACAAAGCATGTTTTCACACATGGAAAGCAAGGGGATGAGAGAAAACGCCTTTGGGGCAAGGCAACACCTCCCTAACTACTCCGCTACTCCCCTTCCCCGCTGCGTATCTGCTGCCAGAGCCCTTACCCTTGAAGGAAGCGAAGTGCATATCTTTCGTCTGCAAAGACGGAAGATTCCCTCAATTCCTTGTCATCTTCCATTTCCCGTCGAACCTCAGATAGTCCTTCCAGCTCATGAGGTAACAGATCCAAGTCACCGAAGATTAAACGTACTGGGCGGCCTCCCGGGTTGGGCTGCAGGCGGGCCGAATCGCATCAAAGTTTGCAGGCCATTCACGCTTTATAATCAGCATTTGCCTGTTCTAAATTGCATGCACGTTCAAGTCCTGCGTGCCTCCAAAGTAGCTGTTCACAATAGAACACCAGGAGAAACCTTGTGAGTGGGAACTGCCAGAAGGCTAACCTTCAGTATCTCTGATTGCTGTGGTTTGTACGCCAAGGCTTCGCTCGGGGTCAAAGACATATCCTGTACTGCTGCATCGAGGCTCAATTGTTGGGAAACTGCATCTTGAAAGCAGTCGGTGGAGTTATCGCTCCCAGCAGAGACTGGGGAAGGAGATGGTGAGGACGACATTTTGGCTACACCCGGCAAACCCAGATGGCACCTCCGAAAGTATGCGCGATAAAATAGAGGTAAACAGGGCAGCTATACACTGAGCTCTCTCAGTGTTTGTGGAATTCTATGGTCAATGCGGGCACTAGCGCGCTGCTGAGCTGTGGCGTCCAGGTATAAGGTCTTTGGCTTTTTTTGGGCCCAAGGCTGGGAACAAACTGTATGCATCCCCAAAGTACCCACAATGAGACAGCTGATATATGCCAATATTTTTGCTGCCCGCTATTAAAGGAAAGCCATAAGACAAAGTGTCCCCAGAACCTGAAAAAGCGGAAGCTCCGTATTAACGGGGGAGGCAACCAATATCTAGGAGCACCTTGCACAGCAGGAGACACAAAATATGACTGTCAAATTGAATTCGACTCAAAAGTACGTAAGTATGCAAGGTTTGGTGGGAGTCGTTGTCCTCCATGAACTTGATCCTAAAAGCAGCGACTACTCACTGCTGGTTGTCTGAACGAAGACAGCTAAAGTGAAGTCCGAGTTCTGCCACTCAAGGCATCAAAGTCGAAGGGAACATGCATATCGTTTATCTTGCGTATGAATTCCGTCGTTTTTTGCTCTGTTTCATCTCGCCGTTTCGCCCGCAGTGCATGCACCGGGCATCTGCTACTTGGGATGTGCTCGCAAAACGCCTACGCTCAGGTGTTGCATTCTGGCGTCGCAGTGTTAAAACCGTCTATCATGGAGTGTGCACAAATTATCATATACATTAGAATCAAACAAAAGGTAGCTCTGCTGCGCCACTGACTTGCCAACTCACCCCCCCCACATCTTCCCAGTGCTCTCTTTATCGGTGTGCGGGGAGACCGATTGTACCGTGGTTTATCTGAGGATGGTACATGTATTCACACTTCCGAGCAGGCTAGCTACAGAGGGCGGTGGTAGTGTTTACCAATTGTATACAGTTGTAGTGTGTGCATCGACAGCATGTCTGGTGTAACATGAGTTAGCGCAGAGTTAGCTCAGGAGCCTATCGACGGCTTTGGCATGCTGCGCGTAAGCGCNTGCTCTGCCAGCCGCAGCGGGGTGCGCTGCAACCCCATTTCAAGCTGCCTCCTCCCCGCGACACCCTGGCTCTGGGCTCAACGCCCAGGATGCCTAGGTACCGCGGAAGGAGGTCAGCTGCTTTTGGGAAACTCTTGCTTTAAGTCTTTGCCTTCATTGCGGCTCGTCTCTGGTCAGGTAAAGGCCAGAGAACTAGCGTCACACTGACAGTACAAGCCAGCCCCGCGCGTGCAGTCAAGGGAGCTTCAGCGAAGCTTCCTTTGCTACATGCTTTATCTCTGAACGCACTTTTAGAACGTTTGCAAGCGCTTACACTCAACGCGCCAAAACCAGGTGAAAGCTTCTGCGCTAACTCATGCTACAGGCAACGCTGGAGGCGCTGGAACTGCGGCGCCAGTGGAGTTCCCGCGAACGCGGGGGAGCAGTAACTTATTCCCGCGAAAACCCCCCAAGGTAGGCATCGGTTGACTGGAGTTGAATTTATTTCATTTGAGAGTGGGGCGGGGACCCCAAGTGGGTGCAGCAAGCCCACGTCAACAGTTTGCCCACCTCTTCACAGCACCGAAGAAAAGTCAAAATGTATTCTTTATCACCCCGCAAAAATATTATTAATTCTTTAGAATGATTTCTTCAGTTTAAAAAGGATGAGAGGCAGCTGCAGCAACCGACGACCCGGGGTCTGTTTCTGCGAGAGGGGCCTCTGCGTTGGTGTGTGGTGTGGCCCCAGCCAGGGCCCAGCGGGAGCATGTGAAGTGTAAATATAATATATTAAATTTGTTCATATTAAATTTACTTTCATAAATTATGATAAAAGAGAATATTATATTAAGTTTTTCTCTCGTGAATACCCCAGCAAGAGAGAGAGAGAGGAGGCTGCAACAAGCCGATCAATCGCTGGTGGGACAAACAAGTGGCCCACGAACGTAGCGTAGACTGCTTGCTGTGTTAGCGTTGGTATTCTACATGAGTAAGTGAATATAAAAAGAATAAATATAACAAAATAAAAACTCAATTCTGATGTTTATATACTTTTACCTTTCAATATACCCTTTTTCAG